GAGTTTTGGAGAGCACTTAGGAGTTCATTCATGGTTAATTGGGCGTCGCATTTATGTCGTTCATCTTCGTCTAGGGTTGGTATTTCGGAGAATAGGTCTTCTCTTATGTTGGGGTTGTTTCCTTTTGAGTTGTAGAATTCTCGGTAGTAATTTCGCACTTCTTGCCGGATTCGGTTAGGTTCCGTGATAAGGGTGTCTTGTATTTTAAGGGTTTTGAGTTGGGGTGGTGTGTGGGGGGAGGTTTGGTTGGGAAAAATGGGTCGTTGTATTTTTTGGGGGTTTTGGTTTAGGTTGTAGTTCTGTAGTATTCGGCGTTTGGCGTCTCGTTGAAATTTTTGTTGTAGTGTCGTTCCTGTTGTGTTGAGAACTCGTTCTTCGGTTTCGGTTAGAGTCTGTTTCTTTGTCAGATATTCTATTTGTTGCTCTAGTTCTTCGTATTGCTGATTCTTTTGTCTTCTTTGATGCTCTTCGTATCTTTGTGTTTGTAGTTTGAGCTCTTGTTTCATGTCATCCCATAACTGTTGTATGTCTCCTTTTTCCTTGGCTGCGGCAGCATAATATTTTATGATGGTAGTTATGATGTCGGTGAGGGTGTTGTCGTTGAGGAGTTGATTTTGAAATCTCCAAAGAGTTGAGCGCTGTTTTCTTTGCGGTGTGATTAAATTGAGGGAGAGTCCTGCGTGGTCTGCGAAAAGGGGGCCTATTTGAGGGGAGTGTGTTCGGTGGAACCATTGTTTAGAGATATATATCCTGTCTAGTCTGGATTTTGGGTGCGTTGTTTGATTCCCGCGGTATGTGTATTGATTGCTTCCTGGATGGAAGCTTCTCCACACGTCGATTAAGTTGTACATTTGGATAAGTCTGCTTATTAGTTGGGCTAGTGCCGTTCGTTTCTCCGTGTGGTTTTCCCTGTCTTGAGGCGTTAAGGTGACGTTCCAGTCTCCTCCAATGAGGATCTGTCTGTCTGTTGGTATATTGTCTAGATGTGTTTTTAATGTGTTTGTGACTTCTGTGGCTTGAATCGTGTTTATCGGCATGTATATGTTTAGGATTTGGAATTCGGTATTATGCAGGGTGATGTGGCAGGTCTGTAGATAACCAGGTACAAGGTTTTGCTGTGAGTGTATCGTTATATGCGAGTGGAGTGAGGTGGATATACAAATGGCTGTTCCGGAACTTACATGTATTGCTGGGTTTTGTATTATGTTATACTGGTGTAGTGCTGGGAGGTCTGTTATATCTGGGAGGTTTGTTTCCTGTAGTAGGAGGATATCTGCTTTCTGTCTTTTGGCATACAAAGCAAGTTGAATTTGTTTCGTTTCTCCTCTGATGCTTCTTGTGTTAAGTGTTAGGACTTTGACCATGATGAGCTTTGAGTCCATCAAGTGTGATTTCGAATATAAGCCGCACCCCAGTTTTCCTCTTGAATTTTTGGCAAAAAATGTGCGGCCTATACATGCGTAAATACGGTATTTATTACTGTTTGACAGTTACGGTCTTGTTTTTGTGGGACAACGTCTCTGACGAGAGGACGGGTCTGTCTTCTGTATATGATGCTGGCCCTTGCCAGCGCAATTTTTCTCGGGTCCGAGTCCTTTGGGACTTGCGACCATATTTTACTGTGCCAGATTTTTAGACTTACCTTTTCGTCACCTCCTACAACTCGCAGGGTCAAGGTGGAGGTGTTCGACCCGGCCTCCACACGGGTACTTCCCCTCTGATCTGGTCTCTTATTATCTTCTACAGTCGGACGGACTAGAAGACACCTTCTTGAAGGATTTTGTTTCCCATGTTAACTAGTGTATCTGTTGCAGCAAGAAGTGCAGTAGCTCTGGCCTTCATTCCCGTGGTAGCGTCTACCCATGTACGCTTTGTCGCGTTTACGTGTTTAAAATGCCGGCTAGGCAACGATGTATTCATTGCCCCTTGTTGTATGGGTAACGTAACTACTGAGCCGATATCTAACAACGGACTTCTCTGTTGTGCTTTTCTGACTGCGCACTTCCGGCTTTCAAGCAGTGTTTACCAAGCGTTGCTCAGCAATGGTCTGTTCCAGCTTCTTGTCCGGCCACGTGTTTTAAAAAACCGTTGTCTGGCAATGGACTCCCGTTCAGCTATTCTGGCTTTTAGGCGGCACGTCACAGTATAATGAAAGAAGCTAATACGTTATGAGTCACTAAACTTCATTTATTATGGGAACGAGGACACGTCATCATAAGTTAGTGACGTACACCACTACGTCATCATGTTGTTAAATTCTACTTTTCAACATATTTCCCACACCCATACAAAATTTAAACAGGCCTATGCTTACATGAGGGCATGCAGTTGCGTAGTTGGTTGAGGCACTATGCTACAAGCCGGAAGGTCACGGGTTCGATTCCCCATGAGGTGGACTTTTCAATTGACCTAATCCTTCCAGCCGCACTATTGCCCTGTGGTCGATTCAGCCTCTAACAGAAATGAATACCAGGAAACTTCCTGGGAGTATAGGGCGGCCGGCTCGTTAGGCTGACAACCTCACCACCGTCTGTGAGCCGATTGTCTAGAAAATGTGGAAGTCTCGACGTCTCACAACCCAATGAGCCTCCGTGGCCTGTTACAGGGATAGCTTTATCATTTTTACCTATGCTTACAAGGAACTTCTCGTCAGTAAGACTCCCTACTCAGTTAGGACGTGGTCTGGATAGCGGGAGAGACTGAATTTGTGACGGTTCACAGGATCCGTACAAGCACAATTCAAATACAGAACAAAATCCGTTTGATAATTAATTCCAACATGTTTCAACGCTAAGGTTATCATCAGGTGTTCTTGCACATAAATGTTATGTGTCAGCTATATTCCCATAAAGATATTCAAAGAGTATATAATATTTATATAGAACATAGAATATACGTATATTCTGCTACAGGAAACTTGATTCAACTAATAACTTTATCAGTATATATATTTATATATACAGCGTTTCGTATTCCGTAATTAATTGAAAACAAAACAGCCTGTCTCTGGTCTGTGTCTTACCCTGTTAGGAGCACTACTCCTGCATTCAGCTGGAGGAACTCAGGAAACCCATGAAAACCGACAGTAAGCAGAGACAGTGCCCCGGTCGGGAAGCGAACCAAAAGCAAATCTGGAACTTTACCTCTGGACCGCTCTCGACTAAGCTGTTAGGTTTGTGAGCAGTTGAACTGTGTGCTATAGAAGAAATAAATTATAAATAAAAAAAGAAATGAACAGAAATTGACTGTACCCAGTCTTAAAAGTTAAATTGCCTCTGTATTTTGCAGTTATCTTTTGTTTTTCCTTGGCACTACAGCCCCAGTGGGCCTAGTCCTACCTCCATGAACTTCTCCGTTCACTTCGGTTTTTCTTGATCTTACACATTCGGTAGGACTCCTTGGGCGGGTGATCAGCTCGTCGCAAGGCCTCTACCTGTACACAAACACAGAAAAGCGCACATACACAATTAAACATCCATGTCCTGAGTGAGATTCGAACCCACGATCCCGGTTTCGAAGCGAGCAAAGACAGTACATGCCTTAGACCGCTCGGCTACCGTGACATCCTACAACTGATGTTTTTGTAAAAGAGAATATTTTCTGCAGGCACGAGCCACAGTAACGGTTAGCTTGGAAACGGCTGCTGCATCGAACTGAGTTGTGATAGGTCTGTAGCACGTGTTAGCTGTCGCTGTTTCGAATCTACAAGTCCCCTCACCCAGCCCTTATTCCATATGTTTCATACACACTCACCCTTCACAAATATTCAACAGTTAGGGGGACCTTTAAACCCCTCTGCTTCCCATCCCAAGTGACTAACAATAGCAGCCACCATCTCTCCCCCCCTCAATTTAAAAGCCAGCATAACACAGGGACCAGGCTATGTAAATAGCGTGCTGATCCAGTTTCTGCTAGGGCAACACTTTGCGTCGGTTGTACTCGAGTGAGTGACTCTTCCACTTAGGGGCGGTACGTTGTGCCCCTGTCGGCTGTACCCAAATCACAGACCTGGTTGAAATCAGATTTTACATTCACAAAACTGGATTTCGCAAGATCCTTTGTCTCTGACTTGTCTGGCGTCACTTCTAGCGGGATTCTGGCGAACTACACTGTTGGAGCTGCGTCGTACTTCGAAGTGAAAACGTCCATCTGCAAGAGATTTCTGCCACTAATGGAAGCATTGAAGATTATCTAGAGTTGCTCTTAAAACACAAGAAATTACATTTCGACACACCATAAGTGATCGTGTAGATACTGTTTCGGTGGAAAGGATATAAACAGTGCGGCTTTATTTAGGAGAATGTGCTTAGTGTTCAGTGTTTGTATACCGGACATCAGTTCAACTTCATTTTATGTCATAGTGGCTGAGGAATAAGAGAAATTTCTCGTGAAATTGTATTAATATTTATCTGTGTCACTTTCAGCGGCTGAAGAATTTTAACCTATTCCTGTTACTTTCGTGAATCTTATGTAGAACCCAGAATGTGAAGTTCATTTAATGTTAAGTGTGTTTGCTGTGAATTTGTTTTTAAGGAAACGCTTGTCAAACTAAGAAGTGCTGAATAGTACATAATAATAATAAACAGTTAGTGATGTGGTTTGGGTACAACATGTAAAGAGATAACAAAGAATTCGTGTCCAGTTGTGTGTTAAAACGTACAAGCGAAACATCTGAAAGATAAGGAAGTTGATCTGTATACATGTATGTCTAGTTAAGGATACTGTTTGTGCAACTGTCAGTAGTTGTAGGTGCAAAAGTGTAACAAATCCAACACAGTGAATTACAGTGAAACATATATTGTCAAGAAAAACATTTTGAAAGATTTGCCTGCCGTATATAAACTACTGAAACGGAAGGTATGGATACGTATAGCATGTAAATAATCACAGTAATAATAATAATAATAATAATAATAATAATAATAATAATAATAATACACTGCAGTCGATGGCGTAAACTACTGAGTGAAGAGTGCAAACGTATTGAAGGAATGGGAAAATTGACAGATTGATATGCCGGCTTATTACAGAAATTTACTAAACTTAGTATTATAATAATAAAAGAAAAAGTGACATATTAATTATATAAAAATATTTTCTCAAAGAAAGTATAAACTACAGCATAATTAAGATGGCTTCACAAAGAACATCCAGTGGTTATAACAATCCAGCTTATTGTAGTCAATATGATTACGATCAACTTACGAGACATCCTTCGCCAGGTATAGTGAATCATGGAAACCAGACATACATAGCGTCCACTGCAATAGACAACTACTCTTACGCAGAAGACGAAGAAATAGAACTCACCAGTACCTTCGTCAGGGAACAAACAAGGAAACCGGTGAGAGAACCCCCCATTGGAGCGTCCACAACATTCAAAATAACAGAAACAGGTGCCGATAACGTATCTGCAAGCATACGAGTAACAGCGACACCCGTGTCACCGAAACGAAATCCTCCAAATGGAACAAAGATTGCTTCTCCTAGAAGCGGCCATCAAATTGAGACAAAAATGACACCACCGCATACTCCTAAGAAGGATGCGTCCGTCATTGTGACATCAAATCCAAGGAAATCGCGTGCGTCAGAATCTCCACGTCAAGCGGTGACAGTTTCGCCAAGAAGACAGCAAATGTATGTACAGGACACAGCAACAGTACCTCCAAGGAAAGCAATGTTGCCAGCATCGGCTGCAAGACCATCAGTTCGTGCTGTGAAGTATGTGCTAACCTCCCGGGCCTCAACACTGCCTCATCACAACACGGCAGTCATATCCCCCATGTACACCTCTGCAACCAGTGCCAGAATCTCGGGCCCTCAGAAGCAGGAGCCCTTCTTGGCGACCGGTTTGGTGTGCAGGAAGTCTCCGACAGGGGTCGACACATCGCCTGGGCTGAAAGCGTCCTGGATTCACATGCCGACGCCTTATCAGACGCCTCCAACAGGGACAATAGTAACAGCAGGAGCTACCCTGCTCCTGTGTGGGGCTATTACTATTGTGCTCAGCCTGTACATGATGTCCAAGGTAAGAAAGAACCAAGCGGAGCAGAGAAGCTGGTAGTCACAGAGCCACTCCAACAATTATTTGCTTTTTTAAAACCCGAAGGGTTTCTTTCATATCCATTTTAAAAGTATCCCCCCACTTTATGCACGATCTCTCCCAGCGCGTGTTTCTGTTCTGTTACCTCATATCCCACTGCTCTTTCAGTAACAGCTATAACCTCTGTATATCTCTTTCGTTCAGAAGTTGACGGAATCGTAGTGTGCCCCACACCGAATCATTAATTTCGTTTTTGCAGTCTAACGATGTATAACACACATACTTTATACTAAAGACATTTCCTCATTGCGGTCCTTATGCTTAATTTATTAGGCAATAAATATAAATAAGACAAAATATTCTCTATTGTCTAGGAAATTCAGCCACGCAAAATCTGTTCTGTTCGTTGCACGTCCATGGTAACAGAGAGAGGTCAATTTACAGATCAGCAATTGATTCTGTAGTAAAGGATTTTATTGTAAAAAAAAAAAATAAAACCTCAAATATAGGCCTAAATTATTCGGTTTCCAATCCATATTTCCAGAAATAGATGACAAATTATATGAAACTAGGGGCCTCTTTATACGAAACTAATACGTATTCATCTCTCTGACCCCAGTTTATATGAATAATGTTCAGAAATTAAGTTACAGCCTCGCAGAAAACATAAAGTTTTCCCGTTACAAAACCCAAGCGTGTAATGCTCTTTAAGGGAATAGCCGTTGTGTATCTTGACAACCGTACGGAACCCACGGCTTCATCCATCTACAAGAGACGGAGTCCAGCTGGGTCCACTAGGCACGTCGGCCACTGATTGGCCTATTATAATTGCACCGGGCGATTATGATGATGGAGAATTTGGTGGAATGAAGATTGGCAGGGGAAACCGAAGTACTCGGAGAAAACCCGCCTCAGTGCCACTTTGTCCACCACAAATCCCACTTGACCATACCCGGGATCGAACCCGGGATGCCTCAGTGGGAAGCTAGCAACTAACCGCTTGAGCTATGGTGCGGTCAATGCAGAGTTTTTAGTTCAGCTCTTGTGACTTATTTCATAACAGAGCGACGGAGGTAGGTTCATGGGCAAACAATGGATTTGAAAGAATCTGGAAGGAAACAGTAGAGGTACTACTCCTGAATTTGCCTGGAGGGTCTGAGAAAAACATGAAAACTTCAGTCGGGATATCCAGTGCCCAGGCAGAGATTCGAACCCAGCACCTCCCGGTTACAACACTATAGCGTTACCACTATACTAACCAACTCGACTTTCTAGCCTACTTTCCGTATTTTGAAAATATTAAAAGAGGATTTTGAGATAACCTTGACGTCTGTCTCCATCTGTGCATCTGACTGGGTGTCCCTCTTTAATATTTTAGGGATATGAGACTTATAATATCACCTTGCTGTCTATGTGTCTATGTGACCCCCCCCTCCAATTGTTTGTTTGTCTATGCGATCCGTGTCACATCAAAGGAAAATCTGCAATCTGTTCTTCCGATAACTTCTTTTTAAATATTGAAACAGGCTGTATATAATGGTCACAGTTTTTAATGACTTAAGTAATTATGGTGATTGTTATTGTCATTTTACTGCTGTTATATTATTTGTTACGTTTTATATAATTAGTTTGATTTCGAATATAGACACCTCATTTCAGTGTGTCTTATTTCATAGACATGCATGAATATAAACAAAAGGCTTATAGGCTGACCCTGTTACAGGCGAGATGGAGCCCGGGCAATAAAAACATGGGGCCCCCACTCCAAAAGCCACATAAAAGTATGAAAATATTTAATAAATACTTTAAAATATCATATTTCCTATCATCCAAACAATTCAAACAAATATGGATTAAAGGCCAAGTCAATTAAATCGAATTCCAAATTTCTTGCTTACTTATTATAATATGTTTAGTTAAATAAGGCCCCCTTCCTAGGCCAAAAGTCCCTGCTGGCCCCGCTATATATGGGTCTGCCTATAGGCGTACATGTTACGTAATATTTGTTTATTTGGAACAGGCTGGCAGACGTTACTACCTGGACTTCGGAGTGCTGTCTGGGTTTGGATCTGTTCTGCTGGGTTGCCTAGGGTTCAGATCAAGGAGATGGCTATGGCTTCCAAACAGAAACTACGTGTCAGGTGAGCGAACATTTTCAACAAATAACAGGGTCTCCAGTTTCCTTTAGAAGCGATTGGAAGAGTAACATGCATATTGCCTCAGAAGTTCCGCATCTGTCTGATTTGTTTCCATACTTCCCTTGATATTCACTAGCCCTCTTGCGAAGGTTACGATATCGCTATATGAGCGGCTATGAAACAATTAATTCCCCACCGATGGTGTCTCCATCTTACTGTGGTGGTGGGGTTTGTGAGAGCTATGCCGGCGGTAGCGTAGCTACTGGTAGGGTTACCCATGCAGGACAGGCCAAGGGGTAGGAGCCAGACGAGCAAGGATACCCTAGTCCTCCAGGTTGGGGGTTGGGCATGAGGCAACAACCTCACACCGTAAGAACTAAATTGTTCAGAAAGCAAACACTCAGCCTCGGGTGGTGGAGGCAGAGTGTTCAGGGGGCCAAAGCTCACCCTGAGCGGTAGCGCCGAGGGGATGGAAGGAAGGAAACAATTAATTACCAGTTCGATTCTCACTAAATTCGGTATAAAATGTCATACATGAAATCGATAAGCCAATGTCACGGACCAGATTCGTTTTCGATATTCTCGTGGCCAAGATATTCCCCCCTTTTGTGGACCCCAAAGGTTCATTACCGCTTCACAACAACCCACCAGTGCAAGAGATTTTCGCGTAGTATGAAGTGACTATAGACTGGGTTTGGATTGGATATTGTATTCATTTACCCCTTATACGCGCGACGCGGAACTACAAGCAATTGCAGCGCCATCGCTGATCTCCATAATTCACAAATCACCACAGCACCCGCTAAGCCTTTTCCAGCTCACTGGCTGGTCCCTGGAAACGGCTTCTAACAGTTGAGATTTTTCAGCTTCACGCTCTCAGGTCCTGTCTGAACGGCGGCCCCCTTCCAACAGCCCCTTTTCCTCCCGCAGAGAACTGACTCAGCTACCCCAACTCTCTTCATTATAACCCCTTTGCACGGACCGTGTAGGAAACACAGTTTCCGACAGTATCTCTATTCTTGCATGCGTATCCTTTGTCGCGGGAACTGGTTTACCGAGCCGCTGCTTAGAAACGAATGCTGTTTCAGAGCCGTTCGATAGTAACGCCCCCACAGTTAAGCAAATATGCCACAGTATCGTAATCTTTGGTAGTTAACCAACGAGAAATTGTGTTTCTATTTGGTTATTTGACGCCGATGTCATTAACGGGGCAATATGGCGCAGCTGATAAGGTGCTTAAGGAATTCAGAAGAATTGAATGGATGGGAACTGGTAGGAGAAACTGAAGTACTCGAATAAAACCCGTGCCAGTGTCACTTTGTCCACTACAAAACACACATGACACTACCTGGAATCGAACTCGAAAAGCTGGGGTTTATAGTCCGCGACCAACTGCCCGAGCTGGCGAGAAATTTTAATTATGCCTATTTTAAATGCTTTCTTGAATATGTATTGAAGAGAATAAAGGTAAGGGCTAAAAGGTAAGCTATCTCTGTAACAGGCCGTAAGTTTGTGAGACGTCGAGGCTACCACATTTTCTTTAGACAATCGGCTCACAGATGGCGGTAAAGATATCAGCCTTACGCGCTGGACGTTCTTTACCCTAAGAAGATTGCTGGTACTAATTTCTGTTAGAGAGTGAGTCGATCCCAGGGCCATAATGCGGCTGGGAAGATTATGTTAACTGAAAAAATCCACCTCAACGGGAATTGAAACCGCTTGGAGCATAGTGCCTCAACCAACTACGGTACCGCTTGTCCCGAATGTCAGGACAGAGCAAAATTTATAGTTCATTTAAGGACTCTCTTGGCAGCTTAGGCTGTATAATGTCGAACTGTGAGATGATTAGTGAATAATAAATTGAAAATGTGGAGGGTACCATCACTGGCATTTGATTCCAGGGACTGACAAAACCATGGAAAACCTCGGTGAACATAGCCACTGTTGCAGCAGAGATTCGAACATTTTATGAGTCAGGAGATTTTCCACCTGCTAGACGTTTCATGTTAGGTAAACAATGTTCCACGCACGGCTTTTAGAAGTTTATATTACTCGAATATTGCACGCCAACCTATCAGAGAAATACGATCTTATAATTTAATGGTGAACCTTATATTATTCCTTCGATATCGTAACGAAGGGATTTCATAAGAGATGCATGTAGTCAGTATCTAAAATATATTTTAAATTGTGTCCTTATTTTTCAAAGAAATCAGTTGGTTCAGGCATTATGCTACAAGGCGGAGGGTCGCGGGTTCGAGTCCCGATGAGGTCATTGAATTTTTTCAATTGACGTAATCCTTCCAGCCACACTATGAGCCTGGGGTCGACTCAGCCTCTAACAGAAATGATTATCAGGAATATTCTTGGAATATTCTTGGGGGTAAAGGGCGGCCGGCGCGTAGGGTTGACAACCTTGCCGCCATCTATGAGCCGATTGTCTATTGAGCTATGGACCTCCACGGCCTGTTACAGGGATACCTCTACTTTCAATTTTTACTTGTTCAAAGAAATCTCCAATATGGCGGCCATTTTGGTTGCCATTGCAAGCTGGGAATAGAACGTAGTAAGGTTCTAATGACGTCATGAACTACGTCACTATGGTGATGACTAACAGTCATAGATGTTTTAAACACAGAATACGTGCTTCCATTTTTCATGATTTTATTGTACAGAAAGTGAGGATAATTATTCAGACCAGATTTGATTTATGAAACCCCAGGCCGCAAATGGAGGGAACAGAAACAAATGCCGGTACTGAGGTCTCGGGTTCTCATGGCAGTGAGATCGCTAAGATTACTGCCTTTTGGGATGTGACCCCGTGTAGATTCATAGGGAGGTACCAAGGTTCCAGAAGAACATATCTACCAAATTACATGGCGTGACATTCCAGAATAACGCGTCTTGAACCTCTCTTTTGCTTAGAAATTGTCTGAAAGTAATTTAAATTGTAAAATTTAAATTTCAACTTATTTCTCGTTATGTAGCATCCTTCGATATACAAAAATGTAACGTAACAGTGAGACGAAAGCTATGAGGTTAGGTCATTTCGCGTTGCCATGGCAATAATTGTCCCGCATCAACACATGGCATGCAGGTAAGCTGTGTAGTAGGTCACAAACGAGCAAGCAGTCTTTGTATCAGGGTAACGTGTCTATTCTGGAAACACTTGTAATATTTTACTTGCATGTGTAGAGGGCAATATACTATATAAAGGAGGCGGTTTGCGATTGACTATTTATGCGTGTTATTAGTGGGAAATTGCTTTTAGACATATCATTCGATAGCATTCAGAATAGGAAAGGAACAGGGGACAAAGTAGGGGAAGTTAATTGTAAGAAAGTTTTTATTATAAGAATGTGAATTTCTGTTGAGTTCTCGAAGGGTACTGCACTGGATTCAAACTATGAAACTTGTACGTCCATTTACATCCTCCAAGACTCTGACATGAGCTGTTCATGCAAGAGAGAAACTAAAGAGAGGACTGAGGTTACATGTTTCAGCCATGCCCTAAATTAGATAAAATCAATATTCTCACGTAAATCATGTTGCTCTTGTGATGTATAATCCAACATTTCGTGGATGTTTGAAAGCTTTGACCTCTTGCACAACACAAAATCAACAATCTCATGGACTGGTTCTGCTTGTTTTAAGGCAACGCTTTGAAGTAACCACAGGGAAACAAACTCTTTGTAAATAAAAAAACAGATAGGAAGTATGATGAAATAATTTGCGTTTTACAACTTTCCCCAACACAGAAATTCGATTCCCCCCCCCCCCGTGTCTCTTTGTGGGTTTAGCAGTAATATTACAAAAAAGTGGAGGGTAAATTCCGCCAGTCTCCAATCGATGTATTTAATCGGAATGAGTTAGTAAAAGTTCCTGTTTAAACCACGAACCTCTAACACAAACAAAAGGGTATTCAGGTTATAGGCAATCTGTCAAAGTTACTTTAATTTTATCTGCACTTAATCGCTCGGACCAAGCAGAGACACACGGTCGTCAGATAAGCTGAAGGTGTTTCAGAACAGGGTCCTTTAGAGAATATTTAAACAGAAGAAAGAATAAACAACAGGAGCATGGGAATAACTAGAACTCTGCACCAAATATTTTAACATAATCAAACCAAGGAGAATGTGATAAACGGACCTAAAGCAAGCACGAGAGAGATAAGACTAGAATAACCCCTCGTTATAACGGACCCGAATATAATGGCCATAATCTGACAGGGGATTTGGTTGTTATTATTATTATTATTATTATTANGGGATCGAACCCGGGCCACCGCGGTGGGAAGCCAGCGACTAACCGCTTCAGCTATGGCGCGACCATTTGGTTGTTAAACTAACATATAAAAACCAAAAAAGGAAAATGAAATTAAATTCACTTGTTTATTGTTTTTGTAATATAAATAAAAATTATGTTCTGTGCACCTTTCACCTTTGTTTTATATTAAATTACACCATATAAAATTGTGAGTTTTAGAGCTGTAAAGACAGCAAGAGCCGAGTACAGTGGCCGCGCAGTCTGAGGCATGAACCGTCTTCGCCCGCTCCAACCCTGGGATCGTGGGTTCGAATACCACTAGAGCCATGGATGTCTGTGTGCATTTATTCTGTATTTGTATTGCCTTGTGTAAGTCGCGGCCTTCCGATGGGCTGTTACCCCGTCAAAAGAGTCCTACCGACTGTGTATAGATTAAGAAACTGAAAAAGTGGCCAAGAGCCACGCATATAGACAGCAAGACGGCTATGTAGTTAGACAAATATTTAAAATAAAATGGAGCTCCAATATAAAAGCCTTTATGTAATCACACTGTACTGACAGTTAGGGACAAGGTTTGACACTGGGTTATGGACAAGACACCCTATAATATGGTTTTAAAAATATTGATGATAATAATAATTATAAAGTAATGTTGATCCTGTGTGTAATTATATAAGTACTATGCCACAGAGACGTACGGGGAAGTGAAAGTATAGGTCCGCCATTCTTGACCTCGTTACTAGAAGGAGATGGGTTGTAAGTTTCACTCTCCGACCGTTTTACAACTGGGGCAATCGCCCCCAGTGTCCATTGGGTAGGAGGCTTGGTGGGCCCCAGAGTCGGTGTGGACGCTATGGAGAAGATATGAATCTTCCCTCTTCCGAAAATCAGACCCCCGACCTGTAGCCCGTCGCTGTGCCGACCGAACTTAATAATTTGTGTTCTTGTTACAGGTTACATCATACTAAGCATGTTTAGCTTGCTGACGTGCGCAGGCTTGATCTCAATATTAACATTGCAACCCAAACCAGGAGAGCCACTGGCAGATTTAGCAGGTGGCGCTGTATGTGGGATTGCAGTACTGTCGCTTATCCTCGCAGCATTCGGAGTATTGTCATCACGCTGCTGCAAGTACCCACCTCCTGACAACAGAGTGGAGCACTGTGCCGAGGGCTTCACTCTCTGAAACAACATATGAAATCGAGAAGGATGCGATAGTCGATATTCCCAACCTCGCGATAAATAATTGTTTTGTGCAATTAAGAAACGTTTAGTGGGAAGCTTATATATTTTAATTTTCGTTTTACTGAGAGGAACACGTTAGGAGGTCTCACAAACTGTAAAGTCTTCGTTCTTTAGGAAACTGTTAAACAACAGTCGATTCACAAGAATCTCGAATATTTGTAATATTTAGCGAAATTTTAGTCAGTCAAATGTAACCAACAATGAAAATATTATCGCGTGTATGAGTGATCATAGACGGGATTTGGATTGGTAATGTGATTTATTGCACACTTACAGACCATAACTACAATAACTATAATCTACACACTCTACAAATCACTAGAACACACGATAAATCTTCTCAATCTAGCCGTTTCCTGGTAACAAATCCTAACAATGTTCTCTGTTTACGTCCTTACTAGCTGGCGAATATCCCACAACTAACTCCCAGGCTGGTGGCCATCTCACACCAACTTCCTGCCCTTCTTATTACCTACAAATCAACTAATTGCAGCTCCCAACTTGTCCCGCTTATAACATCTCAGCACGGTCCGCACAGAAAACACTGTTCCTCATTGTTGTAGTTCAACTGTTTCCGTGGGAAAGTGTTAGTTTTTCTCGCGGTCGTTGCCCAGCAACTGGTCTACATGCTACAATAATTATTTGGGCATTCTTCTAGTTCTAATACAATTTTATCAAACATCCCACTCTACTTGACTGAGACGTGTGGTGGTTGGCACGAAACGTGTTCCATTTGGATCTACATTCCACACTAATTTTTTTTAATTCGCTTAGTGGGGGCTGGAGTCCAACTGGGTCCACTCGGCACGGAGGCCACTGATTGGCCTATTGTAGCCTTCCCCGGGTGATTATGATGATGGTGAATTTGGTGGAATGAAGTTTGGCAGAGGAAGCCGAAGTACTCAGACAAAACTCGCCCCAGCGCCACTTTGTCCACCACAAAACCCCACTTGACCATATCCGGAATCGAACTCGGACCACCGCGGTGGGAAGCCAGCGACTAGCCGCTTGAGCTATGGCACGGCCCTACATGCAACATTACTTAATGGTATTAAACAGTGAAGAGATGAAGTGATTAAACATTAAAGTTCACTTCAACTTTCATTGAAAATCAATAGGTCTCTGGATTTAATTCTTTTTTTGTCGATAACTTTTGTTAAATCTCTTCCACATACATTTCACCAAATTCCTGAAAGAAATCGCTAACGGACGGACATGAAAGGGCAGAGCGTAGAATATCATGACAGACGGATGCAGTGATGTCATAAAACGCTGTATGCTTACGTAAAAGGCGTACAGAAAGTATTTAAATTAAAATTAATTTCACTTTGTGGGGGGTGGAGTCCAACTGGGTCCACTCGGCACGGCGGCCACTGACTGGCCTATTGTAGCCTGCCCTGGGTGTATTTAACGGCTTACAAACCACAGTTCTCTTCACTGTACAGGTGAATTTACGAAATGACAAAGAACATTCTCAAGTTACTATATGTATTTCCTTTCGTAACATGGCAGATGTCCCAAATCCACCAAATCATTCTAAACACAGCCTTACCTACTTGCTATGTGGCTCGTCTAATTCGAGTCTTCACCTTTTGAATACTGTCTGATACAGAAGGCACAAAGATAATAACATTTAGGAAGACCCATCAAGAGATACACATGTGAGTGAATGTTAAATCAGAAAATCTGGATCAAAATTTTGCCTGGACTGAATAAGACTAAGGGCCTTTATGAGAAACTGAAGAAACAGAAGAAGAATAAAAAGAAGATATTGCTGTCCATAGGACAAGGTCGCCACGGCCAATCCAGCGAACAGAGTAATAACATTCATCAATAAATCTGTCTGTCACACGATGACCACAAAACAGCAAATACTCGTTAATGTCAAGAAAAGTACTTACTAATAAATTTCACAGGTTACCACCGATTTAACGTTAACAATTTTAATAAAATTAATAAAACTTTCTTTAAATTATTGAATGAGGTTTACGAGTATCTTCTACAGGTTCCTATGTCACACGGGTACATAGTGACGAAGTTGTCTGACCAGTAATCGTGATAACAAGAATATATCAGATTGACAACATTCACATACAGAATATGACTACAAGACGTATATATATACATATATATATTATATTTCTGATATGCAGTTGTGTAATTAAATGTACTCATATTCCAGGCGAGAAAAATCTTTTTGCCTACTGTGTTTTAAAAGTAAGTAAATGAACTGTAACTTGGGCACCAATGAAAATACAGGGTGTCCGGAATAAAAGGTATCCATAATAAAATTATTATATCTGAGAAAGATTTTATTATACACATTAATGGGTTACGCCATTATAAAGGGAAACTATCAAAGTTCTTTTTCTGCATATATAAATTTAAATGTGGTTTCCCTTGGTGGCACGACAAATATCCATATTTGAAGCATGTTTGATGTTACCGTAGCCACAGCGTCCCATATGCAGGTTTTCAGGCGTTGAAGTTCATCGATATTAACCTGGTAGACAATGTTCTTCACATAACCCCACAAGAAAAAATCCACTGGAGTTTAATCTGGCGACCCAGGAGGGCAAGCGATTGGTCCACCTCTGCCATTTCATATCCCATCTCTGTCCAGGTGATTCCTAACATGGTAGCAAAAATGTGGCGGCGCATGCGCGTAAGCCAGGTATGAGGAAATAACTTCCAGAGTTTTCCTTTCCGATGACATAAACCGGATACGCGTATGACAATTAGTTTCCGAAATATACATGTTTTTATTTTGGATACCTTTCATCCGGACACATCATCATATGTGTGTGTGTAATATGGAACAGGAAAACTGTCACCAGAAACTTGTGAAATGGAAATGTGAATAACTTGGTGTGTTCTTAGAGCAATCGTCATTTGTATAATGGTCTTATCATGTTTTCTCTTTTTTGCATAAATTTTTTAAAATGTTCAATATCAATAAATAAAATTGATGACCAAACACACTTCCTCTCGTATTGCGTCTGTTGTATTATCCCACAGTCCCGCCAGATTAAGTGTCCTCTTCCAGGAGCCTTTGTGGCGCGTCTTATAGCGAACAGCTGCATGGAAACGGTTCCCCTTGGATCAACGGTTCACCAAGAAGCACCACAAAGGCTTCTGTAAAACAGCCTTGCAGTACGAATCTGCCCTTTGTAAAATTCAGCCCCGCGTCATAAAGACGTATAGGGGAGTAGAGGAATGGCTCCACTCACTCTTATGGAGGCCGCTCACAAACTGCGTCAAGACAAGCATCAAGGAATTGGACAAAAGACGCAGTCTTGCTTCATTCGTGATTGGTCGGCATGAAGCTGACGTCAGCATCATGACTCAGATCGGTGTGCGGCGGTTTTCATAATCTCATTCGTTTCAACTGTGTTCCTTTCTTTGTGTCATGTCGCAGACATCGTGTCTTGACTGTTACATGTCTTGACGCATGCCGGTGTGCGGCTTACCTTAACCTTGACACTAGATGGTGATGAGCGGTCACCTTGACGTATATAAAACTTAATCCTAAAAGAGAACCGCTGTACCAATTGGAAAGGGGACTGAGTTAGCCCCTGATTCGGTTTCGACGTGGTAGTGAATAGAAAACTTCCTGCCAATACCAGGAATCGAACCCGAGTAGTACTGTGATAAATAATTTCATATATTATATTTACAGTTATAAAATTTATAAAAGTTTCCAGTCTTTCTCCCGCCCCCACCCCCTCCCTTTCTCTGGTTAAAGCCCTACCTGTTGAAGGTGTTAGTTGTTCCCTCAAGTAGCCATTAATGCTAATGTAAATTGCGCCCTCGGGTTAATGTTTGTCTTACCTTGAAATTCTATGCTATTTTTATTGTGCATATCTATCAAGTGTTACTGCTCTGTTAGCAGGCTTAATTTTTTTGTTCAGTTATAGCCAATCATTCTCCGTTCATAACCAATCAAAACAAATGAAACGCGTATTTCCCGTTCCGCTTGCTGTATATGGACTGAAGTGACTTTTCGCCTCCTCCCATGATACTGAATACAGATTTAATATTCTGTATTATTAATGTGCACAAGATAGGTACCAAACAAATTGGCTCACGATTCTTGTTGGTAGGCAAAAGCAGACTACTGAAGCATTTGTTCAGAATGTCAGATGAAAAATAACATTCAAATTAAAGCCAAAATTTATTCCAGAAAAGAAAAACACGTTAACCAAAAGCGAATTATTCTGTTTTAATATTTCATTCTATTACCATCTTTTGCACTTCCGTTTCAAAGCTTTCAAGGTCTTAAATTGATCACTGATTATGAGATCATTACATAAGGATATCACAAATAGCTGAACATGAAACAATATCCTATTTGTTCTCTGTTGTAGTATGGAGGCCTATGATTTACTTTAGGAAATTTCAAGTCTCGCAGAAAACATCTCTGAATTAATAACCTACCGCAATTCTTCCTGCAACAAACTGAGATACCAAAATACGTTATTATAGATGTAATTAACTTCAAGTGAAAGGAAGAAACGCTCTAAGAGAATTACAATCACTGCGAGAGAAACAAGTACATCACTGCAATGAATATCTGAAGTCTCGGCCATGCTTAAAACATTCCAAAGTTTGTGTTTATTTTCGTAATTAATTTCAGATATTTCAGCTGCAACTGAAAAGTATGTCGGTTTGCTGCCTGGCTTCTTGCTATTTAACGATGCCTTCAATATCGAAACTGTTGTCACGTGTCACTCAGTGAATAAGACGCGGGTTCGGATTGGTAATTGGGTTTATTGGATACTTACAGGCGGTAACTACAAACATTATAATACTATTGCCGATTTACACAATTCACAATCACTCCGCACTAATCTGCTCAGTCTACCTGCACTAGTCCTCACTGATTTATACAGGAACTACAAATGTCTCACTAAATCACACACCTCTAATATCACTGTGATACAGGACATATAAAATCTTCAAATCACACGTTAAATCTCCACAGGCAGACTTCCTGACCTCTTCTTCAACTACGAACTTCCCGTGGCTATCTCCTACCGAGAACTGACTCGTCCCTGAACCGAACGTATTCTGTCACTCATATAGCCGAGGAACGGACAAGCTTCACAGGAAGCACACGTCACGTGACCACTACCCACCGCTTCGTGACGTCACCGTGAACACGAAAAACACAGCCTCCTCTATTGTTGCGTGTTAGACCGTGTTTACAGAGCTGTTGCCTGGCAACGCCTTGATCAAATCTGTTACACTATCCTTTAGTTCAACTGAAAGGAGACGTATAGCTCTCACGGGAAACTTGAAGATTAATTGCTAGATCTATAAATGTTCCGTCAATATTTGAAACAGTTTATTTTCTAAAGTAACATAGAAATTTTGCAGGTACGCAAGACTCCTCATCGCTACGGGGCAAGAACCCTACTTCAAGAGCAGACAGTCACGCAGTCAAGAAATTTTCCACCAATTATGGAACTCGAGTACATATTTTATGACCTAAATGTATTTCAGCTATAATTACGACTTTGGTATAAAATGTATTAAACAAGGCTAAATAATTTATCTAATTGTATGTAAAGTTGTCTCTGTTCTTAACTAATTAAGCACTAGGCCATGAAGACGTATGGGGGAGTGAACCATATTTTCTTGACCTCGACACTAGTTGGAGGTGAGTGGTCGCTTTACCTCTGGGGAAAGAGCTTCCATTCTCCATTAGATAGGAGGTTGGGTGGACCACAGAGGCGGGCTGGACGACGTGAAGAAGTGAAAATCTTGACCCTACCAGGACTCGAACTTCAGCCATTCGATCGTCCAGCCCGTAGCCAGTCGCTATAATGACTACGCTATCCCGCCTCCATCATTGTATGCAGATGATTAATATATCAGACACTGGAAATACTATATTATATTTTTCATACCTTCAGAGAAAAACACAAATATGAGAACCCGCTTTTGTGACATCCTGTAAGGAAAGAGTTGCCGCCATGGGTCAAGGATCCAGGGACAAGTCGGGTGTCGCCCATACACACACACACACACAGCCAGACTTCGATTCTAACCGACCGCTGCAACTCCGGTTTGTGCCTGCCAACTTCTTCCAACTGTTTAATTCATTATTCCAACACGATATCCCGGTAAACTTCTGAGGTGGAAACGATATTAGCAACACTTCACAGGTGTATGTTTAGTAATAGTTGTTGTAGAAATGCGTTAACATGATTACGACAAATTTTTGGAATGTGAAACAACATGGCGGCCACTAGAGGTAAATTTTCAGCTCTAGTTTGATGATAATATCAAACAAACAATTGGAGTTGAGCATCTGAATTCTCGTTTACGGGATATTTCACAATAAACACACCTACATATTCTGCATTATCAAGATCTAAATGAAAGCTTGCCCGAGAGGTCTTCATTGCATACTTAACAGAATATTAATGGAAAAAACAGTGGCAACTAAGAATTAATCAACAAATAATATACCATCATTCATTCATCAGTACTCTGTCAGACGACAGGTCCACAGTCTCTTCCAAAACAGTTCCTCCACTTAATGCGTTCTCAACCTTTCTCCTTCAAATGAGAGTATCCTCTTCTGTCCCCCAAGGTCATCCAGCATCTTCTTACGTCTTCTTCCTCGTCTTCTAGTCACTTCTATCCGCCGCTCCGGGTTTGTTTTGTCTCCAGAGGAAACTCGCATACATGGTATCTCTGTTTTTGGAAAGAGACTGCCCAGGAGAAGTGATAAAGTGGTAGTTTTTCCATTTGCTTTCCACATGGCAGTACAACAGCCGTTCAAACCGCTCGGGTCACGCCTGTTGCTATACGAACTTGAACCATCTCGAGCATCATTTGCTCTGTGCTTCAAGTCGCTACTGATGACGCTGCTTCCGGCATCAGTTTTTGGAATATACCGTATGATCCTGAAAATACGGCGAGCTGTTTTCCAATTTCTGCTTCTTACAAAAGATGGATCACCTTGTTTCAGCCTTCTTAAAGGTAAATATTGTCACGCGTATGGGTGACTAGAAGCGTGGATGTCCGTGTGCACTTTTTCTGTGTTTATGTTGTTCTGTATGTAGGTAGCGGCCTTGTGACTGGCTGATCCCCCGTCCATAGGGTCCTACCACCTACCAACTGTGTATGGAATTAAGAAACTGAGAAAGCTGCCAAGACCCGAAGGGACGTAGAGCCATAGAAAGACAGGGAAATTTGGAGTTAAACTTTAGTCTTCTTTACACATGATTCATAATAAATTAAACTACAAGTAAATTAAACAGATGACATAAATGATTGTTTCTTTTATTAAGCTAATACATATACAAAAGTGTAATAGCTAGTGGAAATTAATCAAATATAAGTGACATAAATAGTAATTGAAGTGTACAAGGCATGTAATTTATGTATATAGACACAAAGCATCTTTTAACATAAATCTAACACAAAAGGATATTTCGAAGTAGAGCCTATAATGATTTCCTTCAACATCAGCGCCACACTGCGTTTGCCATCAATTCGTGTCCACGTTCTCAAGGCAATCCACACACATATTGCTTCCAACCCGACAAGAGCTGCATCACAAGATCCTTCCAGCCCGTTGTACAGTTCCGCAGTGACTTTCACGCTGTTGCGTCCTTCACCTGTCTGTTCATGTGCACACATATCTTCCAGTATTGCTACTGTAATAGTACGGTAAATTATGTCGGTCTGTGTGATCATTTTTATCTTCGGAATTGCTATAGGCAGGGAATGTTATCCCATTGATTATCTTGGTTCATTTAAAATACCTTTCTGTAGTAAAAAAAAGTAACAGAAAATTCATGCAATTTAATTACATGTCAATTTCATACGGCAATTAGAGAGATCAAGGCTGGCTATACAAGTTTTCTGTGACTTCCTTTAGCGTTATATCAAGACAGAAAAAGAAAAGATGTGATTTATTTCAAGTCTCACTGGACATATTTTCCAAACGGAATCTCTGTGATTTTGCATAAATGCACGTAATTTCTATTCGCCTTCATTTATTGCAGACACAAATTTATTACTGTTGAATTTGAGTTTATCGCAAGAATCACTATGAAGAATATTATAATCTGGGATGTGATGTAATGCAGTCCTGTACAAATTTATGGACATTTCGATGGAAAATTTCGGCCTGCATCCCCAGGGTCAAACATGCAACCAGCAAGAAGCAGGCGGTAAGCACAGCCCTGTGACTCATTCCTCAGGATACACGTCGTCACAGCTCAGAAGATAATTCACTTCAAACATGTTCTCACTGGTAGAAATCTACTGTTGCGCCCTAATCACATTACAGATGTCATAGCTAACTAGTCAGCTTAAACAATCATTTTTCTTTATGGCTCTACAGCCCTTTGGACCTTAGCCGCTTTTTCAGTTTCTTAATCCTATATACAGTTGGTAGGACTCCTTGGACGGAGGATTAGTCCGTCGCAAGGCCACTGCCTACACACAGAATAAACGCACACAAATATCCATACATTGAGTGGGATTTGAACTCACGACCCCAGTGTTCGAACGGGCGAAGACGGTTCATGCTTTAGGCCGCGCGGCCACTGTGATCGTCTCTAAAACAGTGATAACTATGTTAATATTAGAGCAGCTCTTAGTACCAGACATTCTCTTGTAAAATACGGCCAGGGTCCTTTACATACTTTAACAGGGATGGGTTACGAAATTAAACTGATACATGCTACACCGTGCACAAGCAGTATGTAGCACTTGTCCAGCCGGACCAAGCATGAAAATTGTCATGTCACATTCACAGACCGGAAAAATTATGTATGCCGAAAGCTTCATTTCACACGAAAGTGAATGGAGCGATACCAACAAGAGAATTTTCCTGCTTACGCAATGTCTTCTGGCGGGGCGGCGTTTACGGTGCACTGAGTTCCTGAAGCAGCCTGAAGAAGGAGAAGGCGGTGTAGACCATCTGCAGGACGCGCAGGACGAATTTGCAGGTCAGAACATGCAAGCAAGATGACATATAAATAGTTAAGTTGTAATGAAGAAAACCGAATGTGTCCATGAAGCAGATAAGCTGCTTAAGAAACTCTCTGCCCTTTAACAAACCAGAATGCTCATTACTGTTTTCACAAGAGTCTGTCACTCGTCTCTATCCTGAGCCAGATGCATCCAGTCCACATTGTACCCTTCATACTTTGAGACTGTCTCCTCCATCTGCAACGGAAGCAGAAGATACTTACAGCTTGAAATGTTTCCAGGGACATGATGTAAATCTTTCCTCCTGTGAGATGGAGGGTGGTTTGGGCGCGAATGACCACAATCATGAGTAACCTTCGGAAATGAAGCGACGCTTCCAACCAGGGCGTCTCGAAAACGACGCGGGCGACGGATTCGTTCTGGAAGTATCAATGCATCGTCGTTGCATTACGGAGACAAGAATAAGAATTACTCAGAGAATCTCAGATTTACACAGATCTCTTTGAGGCATTCTGAGTATTAAGTCGTTGAAAGTGCAAAACTGGTCCAGAATTTTGAAGGAAATAACATGACGGAAGGGGAGGAATTAGTGGGCTTTGTAAACCAAAAATTTTACGTAACGTGTGATGGATATACAGGTAAACAAATATCACACACGTACTTCTCATCCCCAGTGGCCAGAGTTCGATCCCGTGTCAGATAATTTGAGATATCTAGTTCACGAATGGCACTAGAGAAATTTTCTATGAATATTTCAGTTTCCCATGCCAATTTTCATTTTAACAACTGCTCCATGCCCGTGCATCATCCTGGGCTGATGCAATATGCTCATTTGTAGCTGCGATACCAAATGTGCTTACATCTCACCTCAACCTACCAATAAAAGAAACATATACATTTTGGAGATACTTCGGCAATACAAGAATATCAAAGGCTTAACACAAAACAGCACAGCCTACTTCATTTTAGTTTAGGGTAATTTTGTAAATTTATTAGTTCTCGGGGCGTTCTGCTGGATTCACTCGGCCACTGTCTCCGGAACTGCCCAAACTCCTGTCAAATGGGTAACGGGAAAAAGCGACTGGAACGTGGACCTAAACACTGTCTCCATCTATCGCCGAGGCCATGAATGTGCAGAGCCATGCCTGATTAAGTACAGGGATAAACTTTGCTTTTATCTGCCGCGATGTTTAACTAGCGCTTCAGGTAAAACGGTCTCAGTTTGTATTCGAACCGAATACTAATCATGAAGTATGTTTACTGTACCCCCAAACTGGATTTTTCCAATATTGATACAATTGCGAAACGTATGCAGTGGGAGTCAAACATCAGCGTAAAACGGACATGAATAGTGTCAAGGACACTGACTTCACGTACCTGGTAAGTTAGTTCGCTGCCGTACCAGCAGAAGGGTAGCCCTTGAAGGAACGATACAAACAGGAGCTGGAAGTAGGTCAGCTGAGCCAGCCCTTTGTCACCTGTCTGAAAGCAAAACGTGCTGTTCAGTTCTGAGGTTGCAAGGCAAGTCTTTGTATATTCACCTGTTATTAAACTGTTTTTGTCGCTCGACTCCTCACTTTACACACAATAATAATAATAATAATAATAATAATAATAATAATAATAATAATAATAAACACAATAATAATAATAATAATAATAATAATAATAATAATAATAAATAATGTGGCCAGCCGCCTAAAGCCAGAATATCTGAGTCAGAGCGGGCGTCCATTATTAGGCAACGGCTAGGTATTCACATAGCAGACGTTAGCACGAAAATGAAAACAATAACTAGTGCAACAAATACACCAGCGACCGGTGCATAGAACACGTGAAACGGAACCTTGAAGGTGTCTTCTAGTCCGTCCGACTGTAGAAGATAAAGACCAGAGCAGACCAGAGATCAGAACAGATCAGAGGCGAACGGAGCAGAGCTGAGAGCAGAAGAAACCAGCTCAGCTAAGAACCAAAAGACGACAGACTAACCAGGTGACATCGTCTGGAAGACGCTATTTCTGAGTGATTGTAACTGTAATTGTAAACAATTTATCCAATAAATTGTTTCACCTTATCTGGAACCCATTAATTTCTTGTCGCGTTGCCGGAAACTTGACAATATATAACACACACCAATCCGAATCCCGTCTTTAGTCACTATGACACGTGACAATAATCTATACTGTAAACTAAAACATTTGTCAAAAATTGCACAATATAAAAGTATGTATTTGGGGATGTAAACTGAACTGGTGGATATGATCAAAGCCGCGGTATAGCCAGGGCCTATTGTAAATTATCCAACATAAACCAAAATTCAAGGAAACTGGATCACATATAATTAAATACTTCCCTCGCGTCTCGAGTAGGTAAAGTTTGGGTCTGTTAACTTACCAGAGTAATGAGGAATATCATGAGGCATATCCTCAGAGAGATAGACAGAAACTGGATAAACATCATGGAACTGAACATGTCCTCAAGATCTGAAACATACCTGAGGAAAACCCGTGAAATCAACTTTAGAGTACTCTTCAGTAAATTAGATGTTTCAAACCTAAAATTAATGAAAACCACATGCAGATGAATTCCGTTATAGCAACAGAAAACTCTTTAAGGCTCTGCACGAAAATACTACGTAGATACTTATTAGCCTACTTCCCTTATTTTGAAAAATGAAAGTAGGCTTATGTGATCTCCGTGCTGTCTCTGTGTCTGTGAATCCCTCTTATCAAATTCTGAATGCTCGAACCAATCTTTATTAAACTCTATACATATATAAGCTCTAAAAGTTTGTGACGATGGTACATTGGTACAAATAATATGCTTTGGACATTATCCATCGTCTTCTTTTCATTTAAAAATTGTCCTGTTTATATATATATATATGAAAATGGGGAGTGGCCAAAGGACTTTACAGAAGTGACAATGATTGCCTTAAAGAAAAAGACAGAAGCTACAAAATGCAGCGACCATTGCACAATAAGCTTTATTGCACATACAGCAAAAATAATAGCAAATATAATTAAAAGAAGAATTGAAAGGAAAATAGAGGATATACTTGGAGAGGATCAGTTTGGATTTAGAAGAGGAAAAGGAACCAGGGATGCAATTGGGATGATGAGAATTATAGCGGAACGAACTTTGGAGATAGATGAAGAACTGTGTGTTTGCTTCATAGACTGGCAGAAGGCATTTGACCGGGTAAACTGGACCAAATTAATGCAGATCCTGAAAGAAACAGGTATCGATTGGCATGAAAGAAGATTGATTAGCAAATTAATTGATTAGCAAATCGTACATGGACGACTGGACAGAGGGGAGACAAGAAGTGTGCAGATTGGAAGAGGAGTTCGACAAGGATGCTGTTTATCACCAATTCTGTTCAACTTGTACAGCGAATGCCTTACCAAGGAAGCTCTGGATGGGCTCGGTGACTTCAAAGTAGGAGGGCAAATTATTCAAACTGTGAAATATGCAGATGACCTTGTGTTAATGGCTAAGGAAGAAACTGTGCTACAGGGCATGATTGATAGACTAATTGAAATTGGAAGGTGCTATGGCATGGAAATGAATGTGGAGAAAACAAAAGTAATGAAAATTTCGAGACAACCAACCCCAGTCACAATAAAGATAGACCAAAAACAACTGGAGAATGTGAAATGTTTTAAATATTTGGGTAGCTTGTTAACAGATGATGGAAGGTGTACTAGTGAAATTAAATCCAGGATTGCCATGGCAAAAGCTGCATTTAGCAAGAAGAAGAATTTTTTTACCAGCAAATTGGACTTAGATTTGAGAAAGAAACTAGTGAAATGCTACATTTGGAGCATGGCTTTGTTATGGGGCTGAAAATTGGACACTTAGGGCAGTAGATCAGAAACACATGGAAAGCTTCGAAACGTGGTGTTGGAGAAGGATGGAGAAGATCAGTTAGACCGATTATATGAGAAATGAAGTAGTGTTAATTAGAGTCAGTGAGCAGAGGAATATCCTACACGAAATAAGAAAACGGAAGGCTAATTGGATTGGTCATGTTTTACGCAGAAACTGCCTTCTAAAAGAAGCTATCGAAGGAAAGATAGATGGGCGGATAGAAGTGACAAGAAGANAAGACGTAAGAAGATGCTGGATGACCTTGGGGACAGAAGAGGATATTCTCATTTGAAGGAGAAAGCTCTAGATCGCATCAAATGGAGGAACTGTTTTGGAAGAGACTGTGGACCTGTCGTCTTGACAGATTACAGATGAATGCATGAATATATCATTACGCCTGTGGCCATCTCAACGGCGGATTTCATGAAACCCTCCCATCGGTCTGCGTGCCTGTATGTTCATCCCTCTATTGTCGTTTGCAAGTGGCTTGGTAAAAATGTTACCACGGCAACGAATATACATGCAACGTGAGAAAAATTGCTGGGCGCGTCATTTTCTATACTATCCTTGTCATATTAGAGACAAATAGGTGATTGATTCTTCACAGAATTCATTTTTCTAAGAATCATATGAATTCTATAAATACATTCTGCGTGAAGAATCTAGAGTTATTTAATATTAACGCTGATGGTAGGGCCTGTATATAATAGCCAGTGTGCTTTAAAGTGTTAATGACATCCATTTAAAATGTTAATATTATATATCTGTAAAACATATACGGATTGAGGGAATTTCCTGATAGAAGGAAGCTTCAAACGACTTCGAAAGTAGATACTCCGACATTGAGTATAATATTAAATAATTACAAGATTATTTGTTGGTGATGGCGTATGCATTCAACCAGAGCCTTCTGTATCCTAGAATCTAAGCTGGCTTTTGATTTCAGCAATTCATTCTCAGTTCTTGTTTCTCCGAGCGGTAAAGCACAGCTTGCTCCCAAAGCGGCGATACTTCTCTCCTCTCTGCGCACCAAATTCGAGAGCGACATGTCATGGCTCGATGTTGTCCTCCTGCAGAAATAAAATATTAATTGGATGGAGTTTTAATGTTTTTGTCCTTTTATGGGACCCTTTTCTAGAAAACGCGAACATGTGAACATCTACTTTTTTACATTGCACTGGACAGGATAAGATTTCCTAATGCACTCAGAAACTCCAGGCTGTATATTAGTCCCATCTAAGCATGGAATCTATCATGGCCGGGACAGCTCCGTCGGTGTAGGAACGTGCTAAAGGCTGGACGGTTGGAGTTTGATTCCCGGCATAAACAAATATCTATCTTTTTCATGGCGTCCACACCGGTTGTGGGGCCACTAGTCCTCCTCTTATCCAAAGCGTACCGGGGGACAATTCCCCAGGGAATAAGCGGCCGAGGCTTGAAACTAACCGTTCAACCTTCGTCTAGTTCCGAGACTAATAATACGTAATGTGTGTTACTTGTCCTATTGTGTACTACTGCCACCGGGCTAAAACCCAATTGCAGTATAATAAATAATGTAAAAACTCTTACTCAACTCCTATATTCATCTTCAAAGCATAGTACTTAATTAATTAAAAACAGGGGCAAATTTATCTCCTTCAAATTATCTATAATATTCAGATATGATATGCATTCATAATATATAGGGCACGCGGTAGCGTAGTTGGTTGAGGGGCTATGCTACAAGCCGGAAGGTCGCGGGTTCAAGTCTCGATGAGGTAACTGAATTTTTTTTTCAATTGACCTAATCCTTCCAGCCGCACTATGGCCCTTGGGTTGACTCAGCCTCTAATAGAAATGAGTACCAGAAATTAATTAAATAATTTTCCTAGGGAGTAAAGCGCGGCCGGCGTGTAAGACTGACAACCTTACCGCCATCTTTGAGCCGATTGTCTAGATAATGTGGGACCCACAAAGCTTCACAACCCTATGGGCCTTCACAGCCTGTTACAGGGATAACTTTATTTCTTCTTTTACTTTACAACACTGAAGCGCTGAGGTGGGTATAGCGACCTGATGCTGGTGTCTTCGTCTTGTAGCTGCACCGCCCTCTGCTTGAGACTTCTGAGTGACTTCTTGAGGACGCGAAACTCGCCACACGCGTGGATCATGAGACTCATGAGGAAGGTATCGGTGCCTATGTTCACCATTGGGCCTACGGTCACAACAATCAACTGGAATATGAACATAAGCAAGTAGTTCCCAGGTTGCTGGGTGTCCACTGGATACCAAGCCTTCAGAGGCAGTTCCTGCAACAGGGTCAGTAGCTATTAGCGCCTCACAAAATAGGATAAATGTGTCCCTTTGCCTAATCACAACGCCCTGAAAATTGTGTATATGACCTACATACCTGTATATACAGGGTTATTCAAAAAGAATGAACCGATTTTATTACGCAATATTTTATTAAAGGAAAGTAATACAAAACTTCAGCCAAGTCACAAGTATTCTACTCACAATCAACTTTTATTTCCTGTCTTACAAGTGTTCAATGTGGCCACCACCTGCAGCACGGGCAACATCAATGCGATAAGAGAATTCCTCCCAGGCGCATATCAGCATATCACGATGCACTGAGTTAATCGCTGTTGTTATTCGATGTTTAAGGTCATCGAGGTTAGTGGGTAGCGGTGGAACATAAACGTGATCTTTTATCACAAGAAGAAATCACACACGGTGAGGTCTGGGGATCTCGCAGGCCAAGCACAAAGAGCAAGGTCTTGGGTCCCCTTCCGACCAATCCATCGCTGGGGTACTTTTTCATTTAAAAAAGCTCGGACCATCAGGTGCCAATGGGGCGGTGCTCCATCTTGTTGAAAAATGAAGTCATGCGAATCTGCTTGCAGTGAAGTGAAGAGCCAGTTTTGGAGCATATCGAGATAGGTTTGTCCTGTAACGGTGTTTCCTTCAAAGAAAAAGGGACCATACCTTGTCCTGAGACACAGCACAGAAGACGTTCACCTTAGGGGAATCTTTTTCGCGCTCAACTGTTTCATGTGGGTGCTCTGTTCCCCAAATACGCACATTGTGACGATTGACTGTGCCGCTCAAGTGAAAAGTCGCTTCACCACTAAAAATTAACGGTGAAATGAAGGTTCGTCTTCCATCATCTCCAGCATCGAATCGCAAAATTCCATCCGCTTCCTTTTGTCGTTATTGGTAAGTGCCTGAACCAGCTGCAGTCTGTATGGTTTTAAATGTAGACGTACTGTTAGCACACACCAGACAGTGGGTTGAGGGATCGCAAGCTCACGGCTAGCTCGATTTGTTGACTTACGCAGGCTCCTCTCAAACGCAGCACTGATTCTCGCCACTTGTTCCTCCGAGACTCGTGGTGGTCGTCCTGGACTTTTTCCTTTACACAGACACCCACTCTCTTGAAACTGNCCGTCGAATGTTCCGAGGACAGGGCGGATTAATGCCGAATCGCCTTCGAAAAGCACGCTGCACCGTGACAACCGAATTTGTTTTCGCGAACTCGAGAACACAGAACGCCTTTTGCTGAGGACTCGCCATTCCGAGGGTAAAGGAACAACTGAACGTTTCCGGAAGAACGACGCGACTTCAGCGCCCCTGTGGCAGCCATTCACAACTTAGATAACTCCTCTTTCAAATGGTCACTGACTCATTCCATGACGATGCTTGAGAACTGAAGCAATGCGTCATGAAATCGGTTCATTCTTTTTTAATAACCCTGTATATAGAAGGGGGGAGCGCCGCGATAGCTCAGTCGGTATAGCGACTGGCTACGGGCTGGACGACTGAGGAGTCAGAGCTCGGGCCCCGGTAGGATCAAAAATTCTCACTTCTCCACGTTGTCCAGACTGGATCTGGGGTCCACCCAGCCTCCTATCCGTAGAGTACCGGGGAATCTTTCTCCGGGGTAAAGAGACCAGGGCGTGGAGCTGACAATTCGCCTCCAGTTAGTTCCGAGGTCTAGAAAAACTGGATTTATGCATCCACCAACCCATGCACCTTCAGGGAGTAGTGCTTCATTAGTTAAGCATAGGGACAGCTTTATCTTTAACTTAAAAGACCAGTATATTTTTTCAACTGAACACTTGCGGTTATAGTCCTTATGTAGCACCCTCTCTGACGATAGGATGCATCTGTCGTTTACAATTATTATTGGCCCTCGCCAGCGCAGTCATTCTCGGGTCCGACTCCCCCAGGACTCATGACCATATGTTACTGCCTCATATATGAGACCCCCGCAACCTGGAGGGCAAGGTCTCAGTATTTATGTTCCCCAGGAACAGGGTAACCCATTTACACCCCCAGGGACTGGGTTCATTTTCGTCATCTCCTACGATTCGCAGGGCTGCGGTGGAGGTATTCGAATCCGGCTCCACATGATCTGGGTCTTGTTATATAGTGTCGGGTCGGACCGACAGAAAACACTTTTCATTTCCGTATCCGAACAAACATCTGTTCATCACACAGCAAAGGGCTGGTTTCCAAGAATCCATCTCCACTGAAACGTGTTTGCCGACCCGTTCCCTAGCAATGGGTCTACATTTTATAATATTGACCGAAGTTCGGAGGAAAGCCATGTCTCCATCCTCCAAGAAACATCTACCAGAAACATGACGTCACATCCCAGAAGACAGTTCTCATGTGGGAATCTCAGATACCAGATTCCCTTGCTTTACTGCAAAACATACGTACGCCTAGGAATTGACATTTACCATAGTTTTGTTGGCGTCGGCGTCGGCGTTGGCGCTGTTCACGGCTCCAGACAACTGGCGGTAGCTGGTGCGCAGACCGAGAAGAATGACACACAAGACGGAGGTAACTGCAACCGTGTAGTACATTATGGACAGGCGCCTCGCTTGCCGATTGGTATTTCGGGAGATTTCCTCCTGCTCCGTGGACCACCTCAACCCGCTCGACAGGATGCCTCCTCTCAGTTTCATAGTCACGCTCTGAACCTGAAATCAAGTGCTCATGAATGCTGAATGTTTGGTTATGTGGCCATCGACTGTTACAGCGGGCCGATTTATTCATTCATACAATTAGTGGCCGACGTACCAAGCGGACTCAGTCTCACCCCAACCAATGGAAGACAAATAAGACTGCACGGTTGTAATGACAAACGGCCGCACAAGGCTGATAATTGTCTCACTGCAGCATGGTGTATGCCTTTCGTCAGACATCATTATGTTGATCCAATTCAGGAACATGAAACAGTCAGGTCGCCAGGAAGACTGTAAGTGCTTACAAAATTGTCGTCAAGAAGAAGCTAAAGGACAAATTCTGCACGGGGTTCTCATTGTGCTCCAACGGAAAGAAGCCGAGGTAATGAAGCTACCAAAACCAGACCTCGTGTTCTGTAAGGTAAGGTTGTCCTTATGGAGGCGTATAGGAGAGAGGTTGTATTGATTCATCATTCTTGACCTCGGCACTGGTTGGAAATGAGTGATCAGTTTGACGCCTGTGCCGCTTTAGTCCCGGGGAAACAGCTCCCGGTCATTCCACGTGAAATCTTCCAGAGAGGTCGCTCACCATTTTTTAAAAAAAATCAAAATTTGTACACTTATTTCTACATATTTTCACACCTCAAAAAATGTTTAAAAAATTGTGATCCGCTCGGTTCTCCCGGTACAGCCGTTTTTATAATGCAAAAAAAAACGCGTTTTCGGCTCAAATGGAGGTTTGCGTTATCTTCTGTATCTCGATAACTATTGAAGCTAGAGACTCCAATGAAAAGCCAATTTGTTCCTCATGATATGGACAATAAATCATATTATTATAAGATTTTACTCAACTCATTTTCTTTAGGTATAATTAAGCTCGAAACTTACCTATCGATTTTGGGAAAGACGCTATTTTTGACCTTCAGAAACAAATGGAAGGGCGAAAGTATCACACCTGTGGTTTCTATCCTTTGTTTTCTCCTACATGAACAATATAATCACATAGTTTTGAACACCGTACCTATTTTCCAAAAATTTTCCAGGAGCTTCTAACTTTGCTCTGGGTCCCAAATCGGCCGTTTTAACGTCTCATATCTCCGGTGGGGAAGCTCCGAAAAATTTCTAAACTCATAGAAAATAATGCTCTATTCTAGAGTAACTTGGAGTTAAAAGTACAACTTTGATATTCAAGTAATAGCGAAGTTGTAGGCACTTTAAATTTTACAGATTTTCCATAAAATTGTTCGTTTCTCGTTCAAGAGGAGATTCAAAGTTTCCATTGGGTAAATCAACAGGCTACACTTCACCCTTTTCTGTATTACTACAAGGCGGACACTATAAGAAAATGCCCAAGGNGCCAGTCTTCAGAGAACTCATTTTAATCAAATCATGTGCCCTCTAGAACTGTAAATATTCTGCACAGAAAATATCCCAGGGATAGTTTACTTTTTTGTGCCAAAAGAGGGAGTTGCAAGAAATGAAATCATTCTAAAAAGCATGTTCCAAAAGTGCAAAACTGTGCTCCACACAAGAGAAAAACACCGGGTCGTCCGTCTGGAGGAAAACACGGTCAGGTGTTATAAAACATCCAAGTCCGATGATTTCGAAGACATCGTGATAGTGGACACTTACTGAACTACGTGTACTTTCAAACAAACTGGAAAATATTCATCGGAGTACACAAAGAACTAATACCATTGGATGCAGGTAAGCCAATTGTTGAGGTATTGGTTTCTTTTTGGTAAAATTCAAAGTGCCCACAAGTTCGCTAGTAGTTGAATATAAAAGTTGTAATTTTAACTTCAAGTTACTCTAGAATAGTGCACTATCTGCTATGAATTTCAAAAGTTTCGGAGCTTCTCCACCGGAGATATGAGATGTTAAAAATGGCCGATTTTTGGGCCCAGAGCAAAGTTTGGAAGCTCCTGAAAATTTTTAGAAAATAAGTATTCTGTTCAAAACTATGTGATTATATTCTTCATTTAGGGGAAAACAAAGGGTAGAAACCACAGGTGTGATACTTTCGCCCTCCCATTTGTTTCTGAAGGTCAAAAATAGCGTCTTTCCCAAAATCGATAGGTAAGTTTCGAGCTTAATTATACCTAAAGAAAATGAGTTGAGTAAAATCTTGCAATAAAATGATTTATTGTCCATATCATGAGGAACAAATTGGCTTTTCACTGGAGTCTCTAGCTTTAATAGTTATCGAGATACAGAAGATAACGCAAACCTCCATTTGAGCCGAAAACGCGTTTTTTTTTTTGCATTATAAAAACGGCTGTACCGGGAGAACCGAGCGGATCACACTTTTTTTTAAACATTTTTTAAGGTGTGAAAATATGTAGAAATAGGTGTACATTTTTTTTTTTTTTTAATGGTGACCGACCTCTCTGGATGATTTCACATGGAATGACCCATAGGAGGCTGGGTGGGTCTCAGAGCCGGTCTGGATTACGTGAAAAAGAGAAAATTCTTGACCTTACAGGGACTCGAACCCCGACCCCTTGGTGGTGCAGCCCATAGCCAGTCGCTATACCGACTGAGCTATCCCTGCTCCTCTTGTGTACCACGCACGGTGAAGTTCCAGACATGATTTTCGGTAAATTATAATATTGGTCTTGGTACATTGAAGCAAAATGTGTCTGAACAAACAAGGGAATGGTCAAGGTCAACCAGTCTACCCACCACTTGCCTCGCTTTCTATTCGTTTGAGGACAGACGGCAAAGATAGAAATATAATATTAACATTCATCTTAAATACACAGGATGTGCGGGATTAGATTGGTTTAAACTGACTCACGATATGAGCCAGAGATTGCCTCTTGTCAACTCGGTAACGAGCCTTCAGGTTCCATAAGGGGAGGGGAATATTTTCACCAACGCACCCGCTCCGTCTGGGTCAGGATGAAGAGCTGTTTGATGACAGAAGCGCCGAAGTTGCTGGCGTACCAAGCGGTGTTAGCGAAGCTTGTGAAGTCTCCCCAGCTGAAACAGAGCTCCAGCACCACACTGACTGAATGAACTGTCAAGATGAAGACCATGAAGAGAGCGTAACCAAAGTACGCGAAGTAACGCCAACTGCGTTTGTTCTGCCAGTGATGATTCCAGAGCCCTACTAGATGCATCACCTTCACATTGATCGCCATGAAGTCGTGGTTCTCCGGTTTGTACGTCGGTCGGGAAGTCCGTTCACCAGCCGTGACCTGAAATTATTGTTCAGAGGAAGAGGAAATATCTGCACTTGAGACAGACGAACTGATGAATAAGAAAATTACACAACACTAAATCTATGCCTTATGCTTTTACAAAAATACGTTAAAATTTGTACGGGAGCACGCGGTAGCGTAGTTCGTTGAGGCACTATGCTAGAAGCCGGAAGATTGCGGGTTTGATTCCCGAAGAGATCATTGGATTTTTTTTTTCAGTTTATCTAATCCTTCTATCCGCACTATGTCCCTGGGTTCGACTCAGTCTCTACCAGAAATGAGCACCAGGAATCTTCCTGGGGCTAAAGGGTGGTAGGCGTCATATGTGAGCCGATTGTCTGGAAAATGTGGGAGCCTCGACATCTCAAAACTCTGTGGGCCTCCACGGCCTGTTAGAGGGATAACTTTACCTTTTTTTACAGTGAAATCTATTTAACCTCAAAAGGTAAACAGATAAGGGTACATTTTGAACTGTATAGTGATGAAAAATTCTATATTCTGGGATATAACGCGGTGTAGTCCGCTGAAAGTCAGCCGATGTTTCGGAGAAACATGCCACCCATATTTAGGGCCGAAGAAGAAGGCAGGCAAGCAATCCGGGTAAACTCAGGAAGCAAGTGGGTGCTTTCACGCTCTTTTTTTGCTTGGTTTATTCATTGACAGTGAAGACGGAAACAACATATTCCTCCGAAACGTCAGTTGATTTTCAACCGACTGCACAGAGCAGTACCCCAGAAGATATAACTCTTCGTAACCACAGCTGTGAGAGCCTCAATGCGATGTCGGTTACACACTGAGCGATATGTACGTAGTTACAGTTTCCCTTTCATATGAGAACGCAAGTTTCTATGCTCATCTCTTAAATTCTCTCACATGTTTGTGGTTCCGTGACTAACAATGACGGGATTTTGGATTGGCTGATTGGATTTATTAACACCCCCTTTACAATCTCTCTTAATCCCAATTACAACAGCACACAAGCAATGACTGCCTAAGACTCTGACTGGACTACGACTGTCTTCCCTCGTAGTCTGTCTTCCGATGTTCTCTCTTGGCTTCTGTCTTCTGCTGTTCTCCCTTGGCTACTGTCTTCTTATGTTCTCTCTTGGCTTCTGTCTTCTGCTGTTCTTTCTTTACTTCTGTCTTCTGCTCTTCACTCTTGGCTTCTGTCTTCTGCTGTTCTCTCTTGGCTTCTGTCTTCTACTGTTCTCTCTTGTCTACTGGCTTCTGCTGTTCTCTCTTGGCTTCTGTCTTCTGCTGTTCTTTCTTGGCTTCTGTCTTCTGCTGTTCTCTCTTGGCTTCTGTCTTCTACTGTTCTTTCTTGGCTTCTGAAATCCCACTTCGAAGTGGGATTTCACGCACTGTAAATCCTCCATGCTTCTCGTGATGACTCTGGTTTCGTTTCTAGTGCTACGGAATTCAAAGTTTTCTTTGACCACAATTTTCAGTTGTTTTTGCAACTGAATCAGTTTCACGCACTGTAAATCCTCCATGCTTCTCGTGATGACTCTGGTTTCGTTTCTAGTGCTACGGAATTCAAAGTTTTCTTTGACCACAATTTTCAGTTGTTTTTGCAACTGAATCAGTTTAGCGGTAGACGTTAGGATTATTGGAGGCGGCCTATCTGTTTGCCATTTGAAGTGGTGTCGGTGTCCATGTCCGCTGCTCTGAGGAGGATGACTAAATTTCGGATGACAACTTCCTTGAGGGAATGTTTAAGGCGGGCGCCGTTTCGGTCTGGACTGCCACTTTTTGACGGTGGTTGGCCGCTTCCACCTCGGTACTTCTTGGAAACTCCCTTCTTGCATTGTTTGTTGCGCTGTGGGTTTTGGTGAGTTAGTGTGGCCTGCTAGTGTGCTCCCCTTGAACACGGCTTTAACTCGTGTAACGTTACTGTTTAATTATCGTATAGGGCACTAAAAAGTGACTTTCCATATAGACCTTTGCAGTAGCTCGCTCCATGTTCTTCCGCAGGATTTACAATGGCAGCCCATTCAGTACCTTCCCCTACCGAGTCTAAGATGTGTCTTGTCACGTCCTCTGCGTCGCCCAGCAATTTAAGGAGCGGTTTTAGCTGTGCGACCGCTTCGGGATATTGCTGCAACAATGCCTGGTGTTCTGGTTTCGGCGTAGAACGTTTATTCGTCCGAAATATTTGGTACCCCGGCACCGGGAGGTCTCCCATTTTTGATGCGATGGTGAGATTTAGTCAGAGGTCAGCCTTAGTCCTGGTCGCATAGTCCAGGGGAGAGCCCTGATACTCTTCGCATAGGATTCTGGGTAGGCCCCAGAGCCGGTATAGACCCTAATGAGAAGTAAATAAATCTCTCGTCCCTTCTAGAAATTGAACCCCAAATTTGTGATCTTTCAGCCCTGAACTTAGTCATTATGCATATCCCATTGAGCATAATCTCCACACATAACAAGTTTCAGTGAAGAGAAATATTTATATAGAACACAATATTTGTTACTCGAGCATACAGCATACGCAATTTGTAATTCTTTACTAATTTTCTCACCTTTTCATTAGTATGAATTCAGTTTCCTTTCAGATGCTATTCATGTTTATTTATTCTACTATTCCTGCACTTCAAACAGCAATTCATATATATATATAGACAGTAATTTACCTGAGATAATGCTTCTTTATCCATTTAACTGAGAATATTTCAAGAAAATCGTAGCTTAGTTTGTTTCTTCGTTGTCCTTATCTTTAGTGTCCAGACACTTACTAATTCCAGATTTTAAAATTATTCCAAAATGCTGACTTCATTTTCAAATAACTTGAGAAAATTCAGGCAATAAAATCAGTAAACGTATCTCCATACGAGTGAAGTTCTGATATACATATGTGAAGTTCCTCTGTAACTACTTTTCCTGGCGCAGTAATACCGCATCTCCAGTCCACTGTGGGGCAGTTACTAAGCAGGACCGCGCAATGTGGTAGCGCCTGCTTCATAATGGCGGATTGATCAAGTATTCCATAAATTGCTATAACACGCGATCACGCAAATAAAATCTCTTCATAAAAGGGAAAATTACTAGGCATATACCTGCAATTTTATTAGAAAGTTTAAAGTGTACCACTGTGATTTCAACTTAACTTTAGGAAGCATGCCACATGAAATGAAAAAGGAATACAAATTCACATCCAATGGGCCCTTAACAACTGAGCTAACTCCAATGAGCGGTTGCTTTCGTTAGAAGTTCAGACGGAAAAAGACATTCCCGAACTTTTGCAGAACAGAAATTTCATAATCGTGCTCACAAAATCCAGCTACCGGAAACTAGCCTTAACAAACTCACTCCAGTCAAATACAATAGTTCGAAATGTGTTCTAGGTATTTTTGTTACGTACATAATTGTGTTAGTGTTGAGGCTCATAAGAGAACATCACTTATACTAAATTAGTTCAACAAATGAATATTATGAAACCGAGCGGTCTGGCGCGGCGGTAGAGCTATTGGAACTTATCTTGGCTGGGACACCGAGGTTCTTCGGCAGTCTGTCTCAACCCCTCCAGGCAAATGCCGGCCAGTGGCTCGATAGGGGAACAATCGATATCTTTCACTCACGTTCCAGGTCATTATTCGTGAATCGTCCTGCCATGTGATGTCACAACTTCGTAAAGTATAACAGAGCTGTCCCTCTGATTAATTAATTGAGCACGATAACATAAAGACGTATGGGGTGGAGGTATACTCCACAATTCTTGACCTCGGCACTAGATTGAGGTGAGTGGTCGGCTTTACGCCTCGGCGGCTTTTCCTCACGGAAATCGCTCCCGGTACCATTTGATAAGAGGTTGTGGGCCCCAGGGTCGATCTGGAAACTACGTAGAAGAGAAAATATTACCCCTACCGGAAATGATCGCCGGCCTTCCAGCCCATAGCCCGTAGCATCGGCAGGTATATTCAATTCAGTTCAGTTCTTTGTTATTTATGTGCCGAGTCAACAGCCACAAGGCCAATTACAGGCACAGAACTGCGTAGATACTGGTAATCACATTAAGCACAAACATTACATGAAGACAAGATACAAAAATAATGTAAATTAACAGGATCCATAATTCTTCATTTTTAATATTTTTTTCTATTTGGAAGCTGCATAAATTTTAATTTAGTAACTGAGACCTGCTGAAGTATTTCTCTTTATAAACAGTCATGCTTAGCGATTATACACGTATTTATAAGTTCTCTCTCTCTCTCTATCTATCTATCTATCTATCTGTCTATCTATGGCTCTACAGCCCTTTGTTGGACCTCGGCCGCTTAGTTTCTTAATCCTATACACAGCCGGCAGGACTCCTTGGACGGAGGATCAGTCCATCACAAGGTCGCTACCTACACACAGAACAACAAATACACATAATAAACCCACATAAACATCCATGCCTTGAGTGGAATTCGAACCCACGATCCAGGCATTCGAGAGAGCGAAGACGGAAGCTTTAGACCGCGCGGCCACTGTGATCGGCTCCATTTATACTACTATTAATATACAAACAAATATGGTTTTCTTTAATATAAAAATTAAATATCAGCCAGTCAACTGCAATATTATCTTCCCAACTACACCTCGAATCTCTTCCATTTGCGGGCATGAGCCATCGCGTTGTCGAGTGGTCCATAGCATAAGAAGAAGAGGCAATTTATGGCTCACCAAACAATCGCCATTCAATCTCTTATAATGAGAATGTATTACGGCTCAGCCGGTCTGTTCCTCTCTCATTACGAATGCACCCTGTCTGACCAGGCCGTGTCGTGTCAGTGGCGAAGTTGTAGCCAACTAGAGGAATAAAATAACACGGCGCAATGCTGCCCTGAGATTTGTAAATCAAAGAGACTTGATCTATACAAATCAAGAGATAATAGGCTTCCGGTTCTCTGTTCTTAATCGCATAGAACTGGGTGCACTCGCTCAAAAATATAGTTCCTTAT